CGTTACCTAGACCGTTACAATAGCGTAGTTCATCAGGTTTGGACTTTAGTTTTAGACTGAGGACTGAACTTCTCACTAAATTAGAGATTCTGGTCTCAACAGTTATCTAAGTTTAAACCTTGACAGCTAGATCGACAGACTTTTTAAGAATAACGAAAACATTCGATTTATTAAGTAGAAAATTTTCCTTATACAATAGCGGTTTGAGACGAGGGGGGCGACTCTATATGCAATGCAGGAAAGATTTTGGTTTGCTGTGATTAGCTGCGCGCACACTGAGTAGATTGAAAGAAGATTGAAGATGATTCGGAAGATTTCCTGCAAAAAGATGATGTGTGGTGCAACTATGCGAAAACTGAAAGAAGATTTTTTGAAGATTTATTCGCTATTGTTAGATTTTTCGAGTATCTAGAATTGAGATTTAGATGTGTCGCCCCCCCCCTCGGTTTGAGCCTAGAAAGATTTGTCTCCTGCTCAGATCTTCCTAACGTTAAGTTGATAAGAACGAAAGAGACAGAAAGTATTCCTAATCTAAACTCGAGTCTAAACTTATCCATCGTTCTCCTTCAAGATCATGTGATGCATTTTGGGACGAACGCAATCTCGTATGTACACTGAGCCAATATGACATATTCCTGTTATGTGGAAGTCTAATAAATTTGCGCTATAAGATAATCCAATGAAAATTATATGATTGAAAATGTGTCAGGTAAATTCTATATGAATATCTGATACATTTACAATGCTGATAATTTGGTAATTTTTATATGATCGTCATATGATAAATGAAAATCGGTCAAATTATAATAATTAACTGAAATGGATTTGAAACCCATAAGCATAAGCTTTACTTTTCACCACAACATAATATATGTGTCATAAATCAATCGAAGTAAAGTTTATGTGAAAATCACATGAAATTTACTTCTTCTTTTGACACATATATTTAATCGATTTCTAAAAATAAATCGAAAAATAAACATCACGCAGTGAGGAGCTTTCACAGTTGTGTCTTTTTTTATTGTAGCTGATTTGGGATTCGATCAAGAACTGTTGAAGTGTGATGCTTTCGGTGTTTGCGCTCGATTCCACTGGGACACGGCTGACTTCAAGATTGAGCTCGTTCAATTAGCATGAAGTAAGAACAGCTCTCCCGACATGGAATGTAGTGCAACGTTATGCTCGTTTTGCTAGAGCGAAGAAAAATAGCACTGACAAATTTATGCTCCGTTTCGGTGGTGTCGTGTATTCAAATCTTGCTTAATGCTCCTGTGTGCAATAAAACAACGACTAGATTATATGAGTTCATGGAACTGGTTCATGGAGTTCGAGTACTAGTGCTGAAATCTGAATTAGCCGTGTAGAAGGCTTACAATTAGAATTTTAGCAAAGTAAATATTGCAGTAGAATCATGCCCATTTTTTCAATCTCAATACATTCTTTTCCGGAACCCCTTATCTTATGGAACAATGACAAACAAAGATTATGCAATACAGTATCATTTTTGCTAGCAATATTTAGTTCGACTAACCATTTTAATGAGTGAATGATAACATCGTTGAAAATTGTTTCAATAATTCACAAAGAACAATCATGTAAGATGTTTTTTTTATTGGGAGCGATATTCATCCCGGAAAGCCATGCCAAAACCTCGGCCAAAACAAATGTTTGCTGTTGGATTTCTTAAAAGGCACATTTATATGACTATTTAATGATTGGGATAGATCTGTTTACAATCTTTAAACCTCAAAAATCAAAGGAAGCTATTTCAATTAGATATACATGTTTTCCTATACTGCAAAGTTAAATGACAGTCCAATAGTTTCTACATGTCTGTTTGCACGTGACATATCAACAAACGTCAAAAATCGTTAAAAGCAACTCCAATAAAATATACATGATTATCTTATAAGATATATCTTTTAGTGAGCAATATTCATCATGAAAACAGGTATATTTTACTGAATTTTCTCATAGTGCAAACTTATTTGATTTTCCATTAGTTTCTAGATGTCTGTTCCTACCCATGACATATCAACAGTTTTTCACCATGAAATATATCAGACAATATTCATATACATCTTACCTATCGCTAACACTGTTCGAAGCAAAGTTTTATCAAGTACTAAGTATGTGAAATTACGATATAAATCATTCCATATCGCAGTCATAGTTTTTAAGTGATAATCCGATGGAATCTATCAATCATCACATAGAATGGATAAATCTGCTGACATTGCTATGTTATAAGATGGACCCAATAAACGATACATGTCGATTTGTTTCAGTGTAGGCATACTTCCAGCACAGACAAACAGACATAACACTCGCAACTTGTTCATCGAACAAGCATTTAACGGACAATTTAAAAGTATCGTAGTTGGTAGTACCGCTACCTGTGGCGCGCATAGTCAATTCCCTTGCGTTTGACGTTTACACACTACCGCCATCTATTCAGTGCAGTGCCCACTACAGTGAACTCAACAGATGGCGGTAATGTTTTAGCGACGATGTTTTACAGTGAGAAATATTTAATGTGTTATGTCTGTTTGTCTGTGCTTCCAGGATGCACTAGACTCCTACGCAGCTCCCTATGCTTAGTTTTATCATAGAGGTAACTCTAAGACCAAAAGGTCCCGAAGAAACGTGCTCAACTTTTTGACTCTCTTCGGTCCCAAGCTAATCGATGCACCCCTCGAAACATAGGAAAATCCACTAACCCCTCATTTTATCTGGTCAAACATTCATAGCGAATCAAAACAAACATATTGTAGTACTAGAATATCGACTAGAATGGGATACGTTAATCGATTTGCTTGGGACCAATAGGCTAGTCAAGTAGTGAGCCAATTAAAAATCGTTAGTTTCCACCGGTTGGTTCTACGCCGTATAAACGTCATTGATTCAAGTGCACCTTCCATATTAAATGATCTTGGTCTACTGCAAATCTCTAGACCAACAATTGAAATAGGCGAAACAACAAAACGGAAACAATGGCTTTAAACGCGAATTTCTCGGGAATCAATACACACCCACACATCCCAACTAACATTGGAAGCAGAACAAGAGCTTATTCAGTCAAAAATTTGCTTCTTCAGCCATTAAGCAGCTCAAATTGTTTGTTGGGATACTAACCAGGCTTGTAATTGCTCATTACAGCTAAAATGCTATTTTTCGTAATTATAAAACTATGCAATACCATAATAATAATGTTAATTTGTAAGAAGCAAGAAGAGGTGGAAAAGTTTGTGTATGACAAATCAAATTTGTCAATTTTGCTTTGAGAAGGTCACAACTAGCGATTTTATGATCGCTGATTACTCGCTCATCGCGTTGCTCATCGTTACAGCTAATCGCTATTGTGACCCTCTGAAGGCTAAATTGACAGGTTTTATGTGTCATACACACACTTTACCTTCTCTTCTTGCATCACGGAACCAAATTTTCTTCATTTAAGTTAAAAATATATATGTTTATTAAATAAAAATATGAATAGTTCAAAGTAAATTAAAAACATGTTTTCAACAAAAATATGTATGTTTAAATTAAATTCAAAAGCATGTTTATTTCAACAATACATAATCTGGGTAATCAATTTTTAGCGTGTCCTTTTTTCCTTCTTGTTTACATTCGGCAAACTTAACCGAAAACGGCCTGCAAGCGGCGAAACCAAAGTAGAGGGTCCGGAAACCAACGCAAGCAAGTGCTCCAAGCTCGACAAAACCGGTGGAACATCACAATATTAACGTCAATCCGTCGTTTCTGATGCTGATCCCCATATCATCCTCACCCCCCACCCGACGTCGAAAGAAAAGCAGATCATCCCCGAACACTAAACTTAGAAAGAGGCCGGTATGAGGACCAGCGTCAGAAACGAAAAATGACGCTAATATCACAAAGTTTCACCGGTTTTACTGAACTGGATCTGATCGGACACCCACCCCGACGGCCCCCCGGATCCAAACATCCACAGACTTTCCATAATAGCAGAAATTTCTATTTATTTGCTATCAATTTTATTTTGATTTATTCAGCATTCAAATGCCAAATAATTTCAAAATATGTTTGTTTATTTTAAACATGAAAAGCATGTTTAAAATAAACATATTAATTTTTGATCGCATATAGTTTTCAAATAAATCAAAAATATTCACGTTTATTTTCAACACGAATATTTTTAAAATAAACGTAACATTATTTTTGTTTTAAACATTATTATCAATGAATTCAAACATAGAATACGTTTGAAATCAACCTAGTTTATGTTTGTGGCCAGAACAAACTGAGTTTACGTTTAAATTTACCTCAAATATTTTTGTTTCGACGGTAAATTTTTCTGCGTGATCTTGTAAATAACAATAATCATTAAAATATCTCATAACTTCATCAATCCGAAAAATAGCATTTTAGCTGTAATGAGCATTTGCAAGCTTGGATTTAAGTTCACCTTTCCATATTAAAAACATCTTGGTCTGTAGCACCAACAATTTGAATAGGCGGAACAACCAAACGGAAGCAATGGCTTTTAATGAAATTTTCTCGAGAATCAAAACACAACCACGTAAACTTACAGTGCCATTCGTTAAAAAAAAGTTTTCGCTTTCTGATTCTGGTATTAGATTACGTACATGTGTTTTGATTTTCAAGAACTTAGTTTTTAAAGCCATTATTTCCGTCTAGTTGTTCCGCCCATTTCAATTATTGGTCTAGAACTTCAGTTTTCCGACTAGCAGCTAGCAGCACTGTACGAATCAAAGTGTGTGTGCGCTTGCCGTGCTGATCGAAACACACAAGCACTCACGCTCTACCACCAAGGTTTGCCCGTGGAGGAAACGAGCAAGGCTATGTTGACAACTGCACTGCCCTATCCCCGCAGTGTGGCAAAACGAAAAGGAACATTTTTTAATTTTTGAACAACATTCCACCAATACCAAACACTAGAGCGGTAGTGAACTTTGGCGGCTTTTTCATTTGCTTGCTCTCATTCCCGCATTGTATCGCTAACCACCAACGAAGAACGACGGTCAGCCAGTGAATAGTGGAGAAAATCAAGCCAATTCAATCATCCATCGTCTTGAAGTTTGTAATTGTGGTGTGAAAATTTATTTTTTTCCTTCGTTTTCCAGCCAAATCGGTAAGTGGACATATTTTTCCTGTTTTGGGCAGGAACTTTTACTGATCGAAGTATTTTTTCCCGGCTCCGGTACGCCAGAGCAAGGGCGGTTATTAATTTTCAAAGTTGATGGTGTGCCCTCGAATTTTATATAATGGCGTCGGTTCGTTTTCGAAGCCAAGGCAAGGTAATAATAAACGTGCTAGCAGATGTGGGGTTATTTTTGTACGTCTTTTTTTTTTGCCGAATGTGGAACAATTAGGCGCTTTTTTTTTATTGGTACGTGGTTTGATGTTGACAAATTTTAACGCTTCGGTATAAATTTTCTACGCCGCTGATTCGTGGACGGCCGGCATTTTTAATTTAGATGGATTAAAATTCACACCGTCACTACGGTTGAACCTGAAGATTGTAAAGTCAAGCGATGCAAGTATTGAAAATAAACAGCGATAAGATAAACGAAATTCCATCGGTCGTCTCTTTGGCGGTCTTTGCGTTTTAAAATTGCGCTTGCATTTGTAACCGTCAATTTTCTTCATGGCATTTTCAAAAGCGTTTCCTCGTCACAAACCTCACGGCACGGCACTTCGGTGTGAGTGTACCGACTGTACGGACCTCATATGGATAAGGTTTTCCATTTCAAATTCACACGCACTCACATGAACACGTTTTATTGATAGTTGGTTTCCTTGGTGTCGCACCGAATCGCAGTAGTGGTTGGTGCTAACCGCCAAAATTCGACGTTACGAATCAAGCCACGCTGATGGATGCGAAGTAAAGCCCTCTAGTACAAGTACGGACGACTGAGAACAGAAAGCTGGAAAAGAGCGCAAATTCACATTACACATTGGTATGAAAGAATCAGTCATTAGCCTTTTTCATACCACCGCAAATCGTGCGCGGTGTAATGTGAGTTGCGCCACGAGCTGTTCCAAACCAATCGGTTAAGTTTTATGAGTGAAATCACTAGAGTAGTTCCACACAGATTTGGAAATCGTTTCAGATCGATGTTTATAGAATTACTTGCTATTTTACACAGTTGTTTGTTATTGTCCAACATGCCATATGTATTACATATTTGGTTCCCTAGTTTTGTACACGACTAACACTTGAAAAGGGCTTATGCAAAAATGATACGCATCAATAGAAAAACATATCTCGCGAACGATTTGTTTGATCGAGATGCTGACTTCGGCGAAGTTGCAGATAAGTATTGTACCTCTCAAGAAAAAAATATACACTGTAAAAAATTATTTTGTTATTTACAAAAAAAAAAATTATATTATTCAAATTGCATTTTTTTTTTTTTTATATTGTAGTTTAGATAAAGTGCTACTTATTGACAATGTGCGTTTGCTGGGCAAAAAAGTTATGAATTATTGAAAAAAGTACTATTTTCCAAAATACTACTTACAGTTATCGAATATCTAAGTTGTTATTTTCGAGATACTCGTAGGTTAAAATTCACTTATCGCATAATTTGAGCAATTATCACCCTTTTGAGATGTTGTTCAGCCCAAACATCAATTTCCTTAAACAATGTAGTTCACAGTTTTTCAATCAGACGCATGAATTAAGATATAATTAATTATGAGTAAGATACCGCATGGGAAAAGTGTATAGAAAACAACCATAAGAAGTGTTTGACAACCCTTTCGGGTCATTGTTAGTGCCGTAGCTACACAATAGGAACGGGAAAAGCGGACAGGCCCCCTCCAGAATTGTCCTAGACCTCAGATTTTTTTTTTAGTTTTTTTTTTTGGCTCATATTGCGGTTCGTAGCATAACTAGTTTTGACAATAAACCTTATTTTTTCAATATGTCGTAACAACCCCACCTGGATTACTTTTTCAAAAGACTTATCTGCTTTTGTAAACAATGCGTTCAATCGTCGAGTTGACGTAACTGGGAGCTCGTCCACGCATACTAACACCACAGACAAACAGACATAACACATTGAATATTTATCACTGTAAAACATCGTCGCTAAAACATTACCGCCATCTGTTGAATACACTGTGGTGGGTAGTACACTGAACAGATGGCGGTAGTGTGTAAACGTCAAACGCAAGGGAATTGACTATGCGCGCCACAGGTGGCGGTACTACCAACTACGAGACTTTTAAATTGACCGTTAAATGCTTGTTCGATGAACAACTTGCGAGTGTCATGTCTGTTTGTCTGTGCTAACACCACTATCAGATCGGGGAAACTTTCCCCAACTTAATAGTGGTGTTAGTGTGCATGGGTTAGTTCCCAGTTGCGTCAAATCGAGTATCCGAGATTTGTAATACCATTCGCAAATTATGGCATTCATTTAATTAATAAAAATGTATTAATTAAAATAGTGTTATTAGGTATTTATTTAGTTCACATTATATAATTACATTAATACTTAATACGTATATTTAAACAAATTAAAAACCTTTGCATCACGATCTGAACAGTTTGAGAACAATTTTGCTTTAATTTTATTTTCAGATGAATTGAATGAGTGAAATTTTTGCGTTCCTTGAATTGTTCTTGCTTCACAATATTTTTCGTTCATTAACAGGGGTCTACTACCTGGAAAAAACCCGGAAAACCGGGAATAAACAGGGAATTTTATTTTTTCTGGAATTACCTGGAATATTCAGGGAATTTTGGTTCCACTCAGGGAATTTTCCAATTATCACTTCATTCGTAATTCAAAAGAATTTTTTCGTTCAGTTTCTCGAAAAGTTTCTTAAGGACACTGAACTTGACAAGCATCTGAGCGCTAAGACAACGTGTGCGAACGAGACAAGTTCATGCAGAGAGTCTTGTCACGCTCGCTCTTCGCTGATTTGTATGTGGAGGATCAAAATCGTCTTAAAAAGGAAACAGCTGAAAAAGATAGACTGGCAACCGTCAAAAGGAAGCATACGAAGCATGTATTGTATAAGAATAAGCATGCGAGACAGCAGGTCTGAGAGCCTACATAGAATTTTTTTTGAGCTTCAGAGAGGGTCGGAGATCTACTGAGAAATTTGTTGAGCTTAAGGGTAGTTCGTAGATCTTGAGAACAGAACTACAAACAAATTAAAAGTTATTAAATTCATAAAGACAAAATCACAAGAGAGGTCGTAGATCTTCAGATAAATGTTCAAAGAAATTTTCAAAACTTCAAGCAAGCAAAAATAATTTCAAATCAATTTGTAAAACTATAAGTGAAATTTTGCAAATTTTCAGGGAAATTCGCATAACTTCAGACAAGTCCAAGAATCTACAGTGAAATATAAAGTATTTCACAGAAGTTTGGAGATCCTCGAAACATTATTCAACATCAAAAAAGTTCGTAGATCTTCCGAACAAAGCTACAGAACTTTGTAAAAAATTACAGGACTTCTGAAAAAATCACAAGAATCTCAGAAATGTTAATGGATCTTCAGTAAAAATTGCAGAACTTCAGGGAAGTTCGGCGATTTAAAAAAAATACTTACACGATTTCAGGAAAATTTGTAGATCTTGATAGAGACATTTATAACTTCAAAGAATCTCAAATATTTTCAGATAAATTTTGACAACTTTAGGTAATCTCCAAGGAAATTTTCAAATCTTCAGGGGAAGAGGAATTTACAAAACATCAGAGAAGTTTGCAGATCTACTGAGAAATTTATTGAGCCTCAAGTTTTTTTTTTGTAGATCTTGGGAATACAGCTACGGAGCGTAAGACAACTTTACAGAACTTTAAAGATATTTGCAGGAATTTGACAGAAAGTTTCGCAGTTTCACACAAATGTGAGATCTTCAGAAAAATTCGTTAAATGTCAGAAAAGCACCTCAATTCCAAAAACAAATCGCAGAGAAGTACAAAAGTACAATATTTTGCAAAACTCCATGGAAGTCGGAAATAGATAGATCTTAAGAACTTCAGAGAAGTCCGCAGACCTTAAGAGAAGTCTGTAGAACGTCAGAAAGTTCGTACGTTTTTAGAAAAATTTGCAAAACTTCAGCAAAACTCACAGATCTTCGGGAAAGTTCGCCGATCTTTAGATCAAGAATCCACAAAGAAATTTGAAGAACTTTATAAAAAATCGGAGATCTACTGTGAAATTTATTGAACTTCAGGCAGTTCGTAGATCTTTAGAGCAGAAATACAGTACTTCAGAAAACTTTACAGAATTAGAAATAAATTTTAGGAACTTCAGAAAAGTTCAGAGGGTAGATCGTAAATCTACTCAAAAATAAGCAGATGTTTAAATAAATTTTCAGAATTTTACTGCGGTTCTCGGATTTTTAAAGACGTTTACAGAACTTCAGGTAAGTTCGCTGATCTTTAGAGATATTTGCACAGCTTCAAAAAAATACTTCCTAAAACTTCCGGAAAGCTAAAAAATTTCTAGATAATCTTTTAATTCTTTAGAAAATTGTATAGATGTTCAGAGATATTTGCAGATATTCATTGAATCATGAAAATCTGTAGAGAAAATTACAGAACTTTCGATAAGTTTGTAGATTATTAGAAATGTTGTGAACATCAGAGACACTTGTTGATCTTCAGGGATTCAGGAACTCTGTAGATTTTTAGGAAAATTTGCAGAACTTCTGAAGAACACACAGAACTTCAATGAAATCTGTAGAACTACCGAGACATTTGCAGATTTTCAGGAAAGATTGTTGATCTTCAAAGAAATTTTACCGGAGAACAGTCACAAAACTTCAGAGACGTCAGAAGGTTTGAAGACCTTGCAGAATTGCGTTGTTAACAGAAATTTTCAGAAATCAAGGAATCATGTATATCTAGTGAGAACTTTTCCCACTAGCTTGTCTAAAGTTGGTATCGACATCCTGGCGAAGTTTTGAAATCCATTTTCATCTTTATATCGCAGCTCTTGATGAGCCAGATCCCTGCCGGTGTTCCTCCTGAGCAACCATTTCCTACTCCACAAAGTTCACCTTTTCTTTCTCATTTTATTTAAAATAATAAAAGCAAATACGTCTGCCGAAACTAGAGCAATTTTCCAGTAATTCATGATGGAAGTATTTACTTTTGATTCCTG